ACTCCTTTTAACCCTCACAATATACAGATCTTCTATAGAAGGCAGGCGGGTTGCAATTATTCTTTCTGCAGACTTAACTATCCATTGGAGTCTGTATTTGTCCTGTTTTGTTGCAGAATCAAACCAGACAGTCATAGAGGAACAGACTCAATGGTTCCTCTATAAAACTGTACCAAAAGCTCCTGAGGTAGTTTAAACTTCCTAAGTTGATGCAGGAAGAACATCCTTTGTTGTGCCTTTTTGATGATGGTTCTGATGTTAAGCGTCCATTTCAGGTCTTGGGAGTTTATAGAACCCAAGAACTTGAAGGACTACACTGATACTGGACTGTTGAGTATAGTAAGGAGAGGGGAATTAGAAGGGTTCTTTGTCTGTATGCTGACTCATCTCCATTTCGAATGAGACCAATGACAGTTCTATCATCTGCAAATTTCAGATGAAATTCTGCCAGAAGATGATAAAAATTCACCATTATCATTCAGTAACTGATCTAAAGCAATAATCCCAGCATCTATCCAGATCTTCCATATAGCAAGCCTTTTCTCAATTTTAAGGTCTGGATTACCCTATAATGTCAATTTAGCAGGAGAAAATGGATCAAAATGAAAATTTCCAGAAATATTATACCACAATCTTAAAGTTGATTTTATAGTGACAGGAGTTAAGTCTAGTCTGTTATATTTCAAACTCAAAACATTCCAGTAAATGAAGTTGTCCAAAACTGCACGGTGGTATAATTTAAGATTTGGAAAAATCACCCCCTCCCCAAATCTTTTACCAACAACTACATCTTTCTCAAGATCTTTGGAACTGAAGAACCCCACAAAATGCTAAAAAATAATATACTGAGATTCAGAAAATGTTTTCCATGTACATGTATATATGTGTGTGCTTGTGTGTTTGTATAGATACACAGACATGCACATATTGGAATTCCTTGCACAATATGAATTATCTGAATATGAGGTATTGATACAATTCTGGGCTAGGTATGAGTGCTCTAATGTGAGCACACTTAAAATTAAGTTTGCAAGTGACTTATGCTCTTAAGGTTCTTAAGATTCTTTTCAAATATGATATGTTTATGGGCTTAAACTGAACGGAAATGAATCTCAGTATAATGTTTTGGCACAAACAGGGGGAAAAAAAAAAGAACCCATTGAAGACCAGGAATGCAAGATGACTAAGAGGTTTACAAGCACCATGACATGCAAATAACAGTAAAACTACCATAATTTCCTGCCACATGAGTCCTATGAACCCATTCACATTTTATGGTACAATTTTAATGTGTTTTGTGGGAATAGAATAAAAGCAGTTAACCCACTTGGTTGTTTGTTTTTTCAGTCAAGCATGACAAATGAATGAAATCCTCTATTACTGACATTTCTGTTGAGAGCAAGTTCAAACTAAATAGGACTACTATGACATTTTCAATTTATCTGTCCTGGAAGTAATTTGCATGCTTAAATTTAACTATCTGGAATAAATCTGAATCATTGGGCATCCTTTAATTTAATGGGTTATTGGTCATTTCTAAAACATTCTCATATTTTCATACTAAAATCTATCTGATTTAATTAAATATGATTTACAAAGTTTCAAAATATTTCATCAAAAAGACATCAGCTATAATGCAGTTTGATGGCTAGTTGAAAAAGAAAGCCCAAATTGTGTATGTCTGACAAAGAAACTTCTTTCATTACTACTATAGAGGTTATGATAGTAAACTTTCTCTGCACTGGAGTTTGGATGGCATATGCTGTTTTGTCGAGTCTTCAGTTGCAAACTGAGGAATTTAAACTACTCCATGCCAGGATTGGTCGCAACATGCTACGTTCCAGGGTAGCAGATTTTGCAGAATAGTCAGAATAAGTACAGTGTACATCCAGCTGGGAGAAACTTTATTAATTGCTGTTTCACTCCCACACTCTTATACGCTAACAAGGAATTTTAGTATGTTGTCAGGTTCTTAACTTAGCTATTGAACCACATGTCATAATATTTGGTTTTCAGAGATTTTGTTTAAACATGAAACACTATGAATGATCAATATATTAGAAGATTTTCATTGCCCCTCACATCTCTTTCCCATGAAAAAAGCAATCCAGTCAAAAATACTTGTTTTCACAGTGTGCCAAAGCAAAGATGTTCCAGGATCACAGTGTCAGAATTAAGCTATTATTTTGCCAGCAAACTCAGTTTCCACAAAAGCAAAGTCAGAATTTGGTCATCATGAATGGAAGACCATATTATAATGGATACTAAAACAACCGTTGGAGAAACAGGTGCCAGTACTGACCACTGGAATTTTCATATCTAAAGTGAACTGTCAGAACAATCCCCATCTTATCCTATTTTTCAACGATGCAGAGAGATGGAGGAGGAATATAGGAAAATGGCATCTCCCAAAGAGTGTGGAACATGGGAAATATGCATTTCATACTGCATCCTAGTTAAGCTGACTTTTCAACTCCTGTCGGCATATCAAAGAATATTGGAACATCC